CACACCAGGGCATTTCCTCTCATGGCAAAACGCAACGTGGGGCAGGGAAAGGCGCTCAGCCCCTGTACCTGAGTGAAGGAGCATTGCTGCTCTGTGTATCTGGGGTTCCTTTCCCCAACTTTGGGAGTCTAAACACGTTTTAACGAGCAAAATTCAAACCCAGCGCTTCAACCCAGGGGTTTAATTCATCCCGCAGCAGCAGAATGAATTCATGCGTGGCAGATAAAATCATTTGCACTCTTTAATCCCGTTAGCCCACGGTCGCTGCTCGCCGGTGGGTTGCTTGTGCTTGCAGGCTGGAAAGCAGCTCCTGTGCCCTGACCCGGGCAGGGAGAAGGTGCCTGTGCCCCCGGCTGCTGCCCTTGAACTTCAGCTGCTGGAAATCCTAGTTAGACACTGAAAAAAATATCCCGGGCTGGAAATTTAATAGGGGTTTGTGCAGCCAACCCTGGCTCCAGGCAAAATCTGCCCTGCCCCGGTCGCAGCGGTTGGTGTTGGCTTTGGACGCTGCGCGGGTGATGCTGAAAAGTGAGTTGTCTGGTGGTGTGTTCGCAGCGTGCTGTGGTGTACAGCTTTCATTTTCAATAGAGCTGATTGAGACATCCGGGCTCAGCTGCGTTAGGGAAAACAAATCCTCTCCACCAGTGTGAAACTGTTCAATTCGCTGAACTTGCTTCCTTTTGGCGCTGCTGCGAGAAAAAGGGGAAGCAAAGCTGCTGGAGGGTAAAATTCCCATGTTCTCGCTTCAGAGCCCACCGAGCCTTCCCAGAGGCAGGAGCAAAACCCCAGTGGCGCTTCCAAAAGCAACTTCTTTTTTGGGGGGGGGCGCGTCACAGCCCGTGGGTCGATTGACGCAGCCGAGCTGCTGGGAGCAGGATCGATGGCTTTGATTTGTGCTGGCGAGACTCATGAGTGCATCACGCGCTGCTTGGGCTGACGTGCACGCGTTCGAGCGGTATCGCAGCCCTCGTTACGAGTTACCTCCTTCAGGTTTCTTCTTCATCACCCACGCTTGTTTAATCCCTGAGTTTCCCCCGAGCAAGCGCCTGGAAAAAGCTGATTTCTTGTTTTACCCCGTCCTCTGAAGCAATTCAGTGTCTGCAGAGGAAGCGCCGCACGCCGTAAAGGCATCCCCAGCACTAAAATGCATAAATTACTCATTTTAAAGCAAAAACCAAGATGAGCTGCCATGCCAAGAGTGTTGAGTTCCCAACCAGACCGGTTCAGCTCTGCTGCTCCCAAACAGCCGCCGCAAACCACGTGGGCGAAGCAGGAGTCGCGTGGTGCTCCCCTCTGCGCGAGCCTCGCGGCTTTTTTTCTCCCTGTAGGAGAAATCTCTCCTAACCCTCATTTATTTTACGATATGCATGCCTCCTGTCTCGCAGCTGATCAAGAAGCAGCTGGTGAACGCCATCAAGGCGCTGCAGAAGCAGTACGTCACCTCGGACGCCGTCGTGACCAGCGACGATGGCAACACCAACACCTTCTGCAGCGCCCTGGAAGCTGTCTTCATGCACGGGCTGAAGGCGAAGCACATCAAGACAGAGAACGGGGGGCA